CATACTGACCAAATTGGATTTGTTCCTAAAAAGATATATGAAAGTCAATATATGCTTTGTGATTGATGCAATTGAATGGGTTAAGAAGAAATGGAAAAAAATCTGCATTTATTTTTCTAAATGTGGAGAAAGCTTTTGGTAACTTTGCTTGGCCCTTTCTAATGAAAACCCTCCAACATTCAGATTGTAGCTCAAGCTTTTTGAATTGAATGTAGGAAATTTATACCAGACAGCATGCGAAGATTCTAATCAATGGTGTACTAACTGACAGCTTTCAAATGGAAAAGGAAACACGTCAAGGATGTCCTTTATCACCTCTTTTATTTAATCTTGTATTGGAAACCTTAGCAAAAAAGATAAGACAGGATCCTAAAATTAACGACTTTAAAACTGGTGGAGAATAATATAAAATAAAATGTTATGCAGATCATATAGTCGTGACTACTTTAGATCCACATCAATCTATAGAGCTTATAATGGCACAAGTTGAAAAATTTGGATTTCATTCAGGATATAAGATCAATAAGGAAAAAACAAAAATTATATTAAAATTCACAATAAAACAAGAAGAGGAACACATTAAAAAATCTCAGGATGTGAAATAACTTCAAACCCAGTTAAATATTTAGGGATAAACATCACAGGACATAATGGCGCACTTTTCCATGACAATTTTCAAACAACTTCCATGAAGATTCAAAAGGACTTAAAAAATTTGGATGCTAAACACCAATGATAGGCAAGTGAAGTTGGAACTGGCTGATCTTGAAGATGGAATACATAATATTTTATGGGTTAAAACATCAGTTCAGAAGGCTTTGATCTTAAATAACAGCCATGTGTTAAGAGATAGTCTAATAAAAATTTGGAATTCCATAAGGAAAAAAAATAGTTCTCCAATCTCGGTGATGTCTTCAGTTGAAGCATATGGAAAACACTCAGGGAGAAATAACAATCTTATAACTTATCAATATGTTATTTCCCAATCGGGACACATTAAATCTTGGCAAGAACTGAAAGATGAAGGGAAAAATATACAATGGCTTGTTTAGTATCAAATGATTTCAAGACTTAAAGGAGAAACATGACTAGAATAAGGCACATTAAAGGATCTGACAGATTTTGAAATGTTGATTACACAGCAGAATGATCACTTACTGGGAAGACTTTACAAATAGAACTGGTTGGAAAATCTGTTCATGTATAGAATAGTGATTCTTTTTTCTTTTTTGCAAATTCTCATAGAGCGTGGGAAAATATGAAGAGAGTTGGTTCTGGGGGCTGCAGTATATGGGGTGTATTTTTTGTAATTCCCTTGGCAACTTTATTTTGTTCATTTTAGTTTGTTCTGCTTATTTTAGTCTTTCTTTTGTTCTGTTTTTTCTCCTATGTAATTGTAATTAATAAAATTACAAATTACACTCCAGCATTTTGGAGTGTGTTGTCATCAATATGCTGATATCAAACAGCTCTATCTCTCTTTTTCATCTTCAGCAGCTGAGCCTGTGGATCTGTGAGTTGTGTAGGTATGTCTCTTTAAGAGACCTGTCTCTGCGAGAAGGGGTGGATATAGAAAACCAGGAAGTATGAAGTGTGTGCAGAAACAGAATGTTCTGTTTAACAGTTTTTGATTGTTTTGGGTTTGGAATAAAGTTTGATCCTGTTTCTGGAGTGGAAGCTTCTTGAGTAATACACAACAAATTGGTAACAAGGATGGCTTTTTAAATCTTTGAATCCACCTGGTTTTTGGTTTGGTTTTTTTTTTTTTTTTTTTGAAAGCCCAACTGAGCCTCCAATTGCTTTTACTTCTTGGATCTGGACATTTGAGAACTACCTGCTTGCAATTTGTGTCTCAGAGGTTTCTGAAATAAAGAAACTTGCATTGCTTATCTCATCCTTGTTACCAATTGTTTGATTGTTGATTTTGATTATTGTATCCGTTTTGCTAGTTGTAATGCACAACAATGTGTCAAACCAGTGCCTTGCCATGACAGTGGACTAGATGAGGGCTAACAAACTGAAGCTCAATCCAGACAAGACTGAGATGCTATTAGTGGGTGGTTCTTCCGACCAGGTCGAGGGAATTCAACCTGTTTTAGATGGGATTGCACTCCCCTTACAGGTTCCCAGCTCGTGGTGCTCCTTGAGCCAACTTTGTCAGTGGAAGCCCTCATTGTTACAGTGGCTCAAAGTGACTTCTACCTGCTTCAACAGGTGGCTCAGCTAATGGATGGAGATGCCTGCTATCAGTGATCTATGGTCTGGTAATCTCTAAACTAAAAAACTGCAATGCACTCTATGTGGGGCTTCCCTTGAAGACTGTTCAGAAGCTGCAGCTTGTGCAAAATCCAGCAGCCAGAGTAGTAACAGGGGCCAGGTGGTTTGATCATATAACACCAATTCTGGCCTGCCTTCAATGGCTTTCTGTATGCTTCTGAGACCAATTTAAGGTGCTGGCCCTACATAGCTTGAGACCACAATATGGAATGCTTCTTCTGACCTTCATCTACCAGGATGCTACGATCAAGTTCTGGGTCCTTTCTCTAACTGCCACCTCCAAGAGAGGCTTAGTTGGTGGCAACAGGAAGGGCCATGTGATGGTGGTCTCCTAGCTATGGAACAAGCTCCCCATTGAGGTCCCCCTTGTGTCAATTTTACTATCTTTTCAGTGCCAGGTAATAACTCCTCTACTGCAGGGCATTCAATCAAACTACTGGGGCTTGCTAATTGCTAAATAGGTTTTAAGATGTTTTCAAATTATTGTAATTTTTAAAATCTGTTTTAAATTTACTATTAAATTTTATTGTAAGCTTTTAATGTTTTAAGACGGTGCATTTTATATTGTATATTTAATGTGCTATTGTAAGGGGAAACGATGGCACAGCAGCTTAATGACACTGGAACTGTCAGCCAGAAATGGATGGCACTCCAGTGGTTTGAGCCCAGCTTCCACCAGATGGAGTGATCTTCTGTCATTCGCCCCTAGCTCCTAGCCAACCTAGCAGTTCAGAAGTATCTAATGTGCGTAGATAGAGAGGTACCACTTTGGTGGGAAGATAACAGCACTCCATGACATCATGCTGGCCACATGACTGCAGGATTGTCTTCAGACAGCACTGGTTCACAGCCTTAGAAATGGAGATGAGCACCACCCCCCATTAGCTGCTGGCTAAGAGGGACTCCTTTCTTTGCCTTTTTATTGTAAACTGTCTAGAGAGCCTTGACAGTATAGAAATAAAATAGCTTGAAATGCATTGCTAGACTGTTATCCCTGAATAATCTATGAACTCTTAGCCACTTGTGGCAAAGACCTTACCACCTCCTAAAAGAGATAGTAAGACCTTCATTTAAAAAGAAGGAAAAAACCCTTTCTGAAACCTACTTTATTGAATAATGTCCAGCAAGAATTTGATATGCCACTCTTTGACAAGTTGCTGGAGCATGCAGTAACTTCTCATCTCCATGGATTTCTGACAGGTGGATTATTTAGATGCATTCCAGTCTGGCTTCTGGTCTAATTATGGGACAGAGTCTGCTTTAGTTGCCTTGGTAGATGGTCTACACCAGGAAGAGTATGTCACTGGTGGCTCTGCTGGCCCTCTTAGTGGCTTTCAGCACCACTGAATGGTGTCTGTCTGAGATGGAACTGAGAAGCACTGTTGCCCAGTGGCTCTGGTCCTCCTTGAAGTGGCAATCTCAGAAACATAGTGCTGGGAATTATTGTTCAGTGCAGCAGCTCTTTGCCTGGGTTTTCTATTTTATCTCCCATGCCATTTAATTTATGCATGAAACTCCTGGGTAAAAGAGTGTCAGGAGTTTTGGATTCAGTGCCAGTATCATTTTCATCCAAACTGAAAGAAGCTAGTCTAGTCCTAAATCAATGCCAGATGTTAGCAATGAACTGGATGAGGCCAGAGAAGTTGAAGCTTAACCCAGACAAAACTGAGCAGATCGAGGAATGGGAATTCAACCTGTGCTGGCTGGGGGTCACACTTCCCCTGAAGACTCAGGTTCACAAGTTGGGTACGCCCTTGGACTCATCCTTGAACCTGGTTTCATCAGTGGCCAGGTGTGTGGTTGCCAGCCACATCCACTCCTAGAGTTGTTTGATTTGGCCACAGTCATGCATGCCCTGGCTAATTCTTGTTAGGACTATTCTAATGTGCCCTACGTGGAGCTGTCTTCAACTCAGAAGCCCCAGCTGGTCCAGAATGCTACAACCAGACTTTTGACTGCAGTATATGACTCTCTTGTTTTAACAGTTTCACTGGCTGCTAATCAGTTTCCAGGCAGAATGCAATATGCTGGTCATAAAGCCCATATGGCTGGGGACCAGGCTACTTGACAGACTGTCTTCTTCTATATGAGCCTGCCTAGGTCTGAGGATCTTCAGGACAGGTGCTTCTTTTGAGACTACTGCCTTCAGAGGCATCTTTGATGACAACATGGAAGAAAGCCGCCTGAGTGACTGCTCCAGGTTGGACCTCTCTGCTGAGGGAGGCTAGTTTGCTTCCTCTCTGGTGGGGCTTTGGTGTACAAGCTGTTCTGTTGGGCTGCATGCTGTTTTTAGTATGTTAATAATGTGGAATTTAATTGTATTTTAATTCATTTGTTTTAGTTTTCCTTCAACCAACTTTTATTTTTGATTGTAAGTCATTTTCCTTGGTTGAAAGATGGAGTACAAATCAAAGAAACATGCTCAAGGTTGAATCCAAGCAGGACAAAGTGTTGTTGATGGAACCCATCAGTACAAGATGTGGAAACACTGGGTTGGAGTAAGGCATTTGGACCCCTTCACAGTGCCCTGCCATTTATTTTCACATTCTTTACAAGCTGATTATCTTCATTTCTGGCTTCACATTGATTTTTAGCAGGGGTGAGCAACTTGTGACACCCCACATGTTTTGGCCTACCATTCCCATCACCTTACCTATCTTCCAGTATCCACAGCCCTCTCTTTCATATAATTGGACTCACCACTAACATTTTCTTGTCTGCAGGAGGATGACCTGGATGGAATTCACATTGTGGCATTTGCTGAAGAAGATGACCCTGGTAGGAGCCACATAGGCCCTTTCTGGGCCTCATAAAAGGAAATTACACAAGGGATTATTTCTTGTGCATATGCAGGGCTAGATTGGAGGAGCGAAACCCATCCTAAACATCATTTAGTATGTCTCTATGTAGTATGTATGCTATAGTCCTATGGGGATGTCCGTAATGGCTGAACTTAGAGGATTGCAAGCAGGCTATGGAGGGCAGGAGGAGTGTTGTGGTGAAGGTCATCTCCATGCTCCTGTTACTCTGCAGAGCACTTAGATGGCCAATTTTGACCATCTAAGTGTGATGCCTTGTAGTGCAACTGAGGGGAGACTGAAGCTCTAGCAGGATACCTCATATCTTGGTGGCACTGGTCTCCTCTACCACTCTCCCAAATGCCCCATAAAGCCCGTTCTGAGGTTACTGTTATGACTTTGGAGAATCAGCAAGCAGAATTCTTTCTTCATCAACTCCAAGAGGGGGATTTCTTCTGCTTGCTTTATTGGCTGAGGAGGATCCTGGCACAGAGGTTAGAGCAATTTTCCAATCTTGTAGCTGGAAAATAAAAAAATAAAAAATGACCCCTTCGATGTTGCCTAGCATCCACAGAACTGCATTGTTATGTCCTCATTGCTGAACCTTGTAATTATTTGCCTAGTGGAAGTGATCAGGTTTTGGAGGTCTTCATAGTGGCATGTAAAACATTGTTTTCCCCGAGATATGCTCCCACTATAATACTTCCTATACCTGGCCAGTAGTACTGTTGTCTCACCCTGGGAATAGAGCAGCGGCAGTAGTCATTTACACATAAGAAGTAGTATATTGCTGATGTTAATGTAGGAATAAGACTTTACCTCCTGCACTTCATGACCTATTGACCCTACAGTGTACCATTTTTCTCCTATATACCAGGCTTTAGTTGAGAAGTCTGCATTCATTCATTCATTCATTCATTTTTAAAGCACTGCATGGACTTTTGATTGCCTTTCTAAAAAGTATCTTTTTAAAGTTTCAAAAGCGCTGCAGAGAAATGGGGAAGGAGGGTCTGTGCTACTACAGGCACCAGCTAATTCACCTTGTGCACAGCTTGCTTCTGCTGCAAACTCAAAATAACTCATTTTCCTTGCACTGAAATCAAGGTGGGATTGAATTCAAGTGGCCCACTGGGCATGGGTCCCAAAGCTTCTGAGCTGTGCCTTGGATCTTTAGAGCTTCCCCAATTATCATAATCTGCCTTAATACAAGCCTGCTTCTTCTCTCTGAACCTCTCCTGCAGTTACTAGAATACCTTAGGACTCACTCCCTTAGTGGACTAAAAGGGACTACAGTATGAAGGTACCAGGCTTTTGAACTGCGAAAGAGACTGTCACCTTTGCTTCCACCGGCTGCTCATCAAAGCCAGGCACTAGAATTGCTTGGTTTTCTCAGTCTGTGGCTGTCTCAGCAGAAACTTGCTCAGCCAGTTGTAGGTGGGCAATTGCACTTGTGCCCTGGGCTATTGTAGAGAAGGCCTGGGAAAGAGGATGTGCAGGTGCATTGGCTGAAAGTGCCATAAGCTTTCCTTATTTGTTGCTTCCTCCAAGCTGGCCCAGGCACCTTACCCTGGGGGCAAACAGAAACTGAGTTGCTTGCAAAAAGGGTTTCAATTAGCAGCAATTTCTGAATTTGTGTCTAGGTACCAAACTTGCTCCAGCATGTTTGCAGTGATGTGCTCAAGTCCTTTACTCCAAGTCTCGAGTCAAGTCTCAAGTCTTTCAAGTCCAAGTCAAATCTCAAGTCATTGCAAGAAATTTTCTAGTAAAGTCTCAAGAGCCACTTTAACAGAAAAAAGGGAGGTGGTAGTGGGGTATGAGGGGTTGGGAGAGTTGTAAACCCACAGAGAGAAGAGTAGGGAGAAATCATCTGGCCACCTCTGCTTCTGCCCTTCCCAGAAACTGTTGACACCCCTGAGGCCCTACATGTGCCCTGAAACACACTAGCTTGGGTATGCTTGAGCTGATGCTGTGGAATGAAAACCATGAATAGCTCTAGGGAATTTCTGTCTCTACAAAAAGCTGTGAATATCTCTAGGAAACTCAGCCACTGATGTGTTGCCAAATGATTTGGGCAGTTCCCTAGAGAATTTCACTGCTTTTTGTTAGATATTCTTATAGGGTTTGTGGCAATCTATGCATTCATAAGCACGTAGTAACCCAGGTCCTTCCTGTATCGCAACCCCCCTCCCCTGTTCCCACCCCTTGTGCCTCCCTTGTGCCAAAAAGCAACTCAGTCATAAAAACAATAAATATCTCAAGTTGAGTCAAGTCACTCACTTTGGCTCTCGAGTTGCTGACACAACTTGAGCAGGACTTGGGAGTGAGTAACTCAACTTGAGTCCTGAGCACTGCTTGTTTGTGTATGTGTTTGAAGCTTCTTGGGTCTACAATGACCTTTCTAGAGTGCATCTGCTTTTAAAGTAATCCCTGTGGTCAGTTTCTGGCACAGGCATGGTTGTTCGATGTTTTGCATTAGGATAGAGAAAGGTGAGTAGAGTATAGGAGTGTTTTGTTCTCTTTTGTTCAAAAGCCCCAGTGCCTTGTGGCACCTTAAAAACTGAGAAATTTACTTGGCATAAGAAGCTTTCATGAACTGAGTCCACAGTTACTGTACAGAAAGTTATTTTGAAAGATTTTGCTTTTCTTGAAGGAAAATAGCACTTGCTGAAATAATGGTCTGTCCTGCATCTAATCCTCCTCCTAAGTACCACCCTTGTGCTGCCTAAGGTTTCCTTCTGAAATCAAACATGTTCTTTTCCTCTGTCCATGCATCTCTTTCTACAAACAGGGAGTCCTGGGATTTCTTTAAAGGGATACATACATTTTAGAGCCCAGGGCAACTGCCTCAGATAGTTAATTTGGGATATCACAAAAATAGCACATTCTTAAGAATTTACTTATTATATTTTCACTGCCAGGGAAAGGGAGAGGTCCCTGTCTCAGAGACCAAAACACCTAGTGTTTGGCAAGGCTTCGGCAAGGGGCGGCATAGAAATGTTTTAATAAATAAATAAATAGTGTGTGAGAATCTGTTTTAGGTGTGGGACACAGGTAGAGGAACAATTGGGGATTCAGAGAGATTTGTGGAAGGGGAACCTATTGAGGATTATATCAAATTCACTGTAATCCTGAACATGTTTGCTCAGAAATAAGTTCAGCGGGATTTACTCCTAGGTGAGTATATGTAGGATTGGTTTCTCCCTATGATAATACACTCAGAGCTGCATCCACTCTGAAGCTAGTTCCAGTATTTGGATTTAGAGAGAAACCTGGGGATTGATAATTCTGATAATTTAAACACACATACACAGAGATAGCCATGTCAATCCATAAAACCCAAAATCCACAGTTGGGCAACATCTTTATTAGGAATTTTGTTTTGTCTGGATACGTATAACCAACTATACATTTTGGTACTTTAAGTGTTCTATGATTGTGAAGTTGCACAATTATTAGGTTGTAGAAGCTTATTAAACATTTGCTGTACAGGTTGGGCTTCCAAGAAGACAGAAGCCAAGAACTGTAAAATATTGTTCTAGAATGCTAGAAACTACCCACATAAAATATTAAAACTAAATTGGCAGGACTTTCTTTGTTTCCTTACCTGGTCCATGGACCAGTTGGAACAAAGCAATATCCTAGGCCTCTGTCCTGTGCTGTTGTGCTTGTGGGTGTTGGGGGGAGAGTGAATTGGAGACATGTTCCACCATGTTTAATAGGCCTACTCCCTAGTGAACATGTAAGTTTGCAGCTAAGAGCCTATTATATTCTACTGTACGTACATCCCTTTACACTCCTTTGCCATGTTCAGTTTGCAATTAACTGGTAACTATTTAAGGTACTGTACCAATATTTGCTGATCCCATGCACCCCATCAAGATTTGGGCCGAAACACCAAGGAACAGTATGGGCTTGTGGAGTGTAAGTTTTGAGCAAGCACAGTTGGGACATGGCACAATTCTCTCAGAAAAGCAAGCAAGAGAGTCTTCTATAAAATTTAAATAATTTTATTATGCTCATATATGCATATGTAAATGATCATATGCAAAGTTCTGCAATTTTTTTGTACAATGCAGCCAAGTCCCAGCTCTTTTGATCTCCACTAGCACCTTAGCTCAACCCTTTGCACCAGCCTCAGGGAGTGCACTTCCAGAGTGGTTTCACTGACCAAGTCATATGCAACCACAATCTTGAAGAGAATTTTTGTTTGAAGGCGAAGAGAAGAAGGGATTGCCAGGCAACTTCCCATGCCTGGAACAACTGGGTAGCAATAGGAAGAGTTGGTGGCCAATCTGCTTTTGCTATGTAGAAGAAACAACTGAGAGTCAGAAAGGGGGAAAGAAGACTTTAAATATTACATGAGATGGAAAGGTTGCTTACATTTTAGATCGGTAATCTTAAATAACTCTTTCACAGATATGTCAGATTCAGCATGTCCAAAACAAACTTCCTAAACTCTCCTGCTGAACCTTATTACATCTCAACTTCTTTGGCCATCTTTAACCCATCATTCTCCTCCCATGGTGATCAAATGCCATTCCTTCTTATTTTCTCAGCATTTCCCAGATCCTCCCTTCTTCATCTATATTCTTAGGAATTGAAATGGAGTGAAATAGGTGGGAAACAATTTTTCTTCTTTTCAGGTGGACCTAGAACCATCCCTCTTCTCAATGGACACAGGGTTGTTGCTGCCACGTGCTGTCAAGTAATCTCCAACTTATGGTGACTCTGTGAATGTCCTGCCCTTAAAAGCCGTGCTCAGCTCTTGTAAACTCAAAGCTGTGACTTCCTCTATAGAAGAGATCTATCTCACACTTGGTTTTCCTTCTCTTCTTCTGTCTTCAACTCTCCTTACCATTATCGCCTTCTCCAGGGTGTCTTGCCTTCTCATGATGTACAATAGCTTCAGTTTTGTCATTTTTGCTTCTACGGAAATTTCTGGCTTGATTCAATCTAGGATTCACTTGCTCATCTTTCTGTCAGTTCAGGGTATTCACAATGTACTGTGCTCCAGTATCATGTTTTGAATGCATCAGTTCTCTTCCTGTCAGCTTTCACATCTATTCATAGTGATAAGGAATACAATGGTTTTGGTTTCCAATGAAACTTCCTTACACATTTCTAGTTCCTTCATTGCTACCCTTCCAAGTTGTAGTATTCTAATTTCTTGGCTGCAGCCTCCCTTTGAATTGATGCTTGAGCTACAATTTCTTCCACAATTTCATTTTTTCTTCATTGTTGACAGTGAACTTGTGTAATTCTTCTGTAGTCTTGACTTTTGTTTTCTTAATACTCAGCTGCAGTCCTGTACTTTCTTCTTTCCCTTTCAGCAGAAAGCCTTTCAATTCATTGCTGCCTTCTACCAGTAATATGTATTTACTGGATTTGAATTGTAAGCCATCCAGAGACCCACTGGGTATTGGATGGGGTAAAAATACCCAAATAAATAAATAAATGGTAGCATCTGCATTTCTTAATTTATTGATGTGTTTTCTGCCATTTTCACTCCTTCCTTTGATCCTAATCCATATTTTCTTATATGTTCTGCATACAGATTGAACAGATAGGGATCCAAAATGCATCCTTGTCTGATGCCTTTGTCTATAAGAGACCTTTCTCTTTCTCCATATTCTATTCTAACAGTAGCTTCTTGTCCATGATGCAGGTTACACCTGAGTACGATCAAGTGCTGTTTAGTACTTAGGCACACAATTTAGTCTGGCTTAATTTGAAATGAAGCTACTTCCTTTTTCTCTGTCCATCAAACACAGTGTATCCCATTGTGAAAGCTTTGCACAGATTTTGATAATTTCTTGACCAAACTGAGGCTATACAAAGTAAAGTTCCTGGGTACATTGGTCTGCCACAGTTGTTCTTCAGAAAAGCTTCCCCTTTGTACTACCCAGATGTATTTCATAAATAAAAGCTAGGAGCCCTTTAGAAGTTTTCTCCAAAATTAATTTATTTTCTGTAGCCCTTGGTTTCTCATAGGCAACCTGGGTAAAATTAACAAATTTGTTATCCGAACCAAACCAAGTATAGTTTGAACTAAATACCCTCTGTCCTTTCCATCATTAGCTTTTTCTGCATCAAGAAAAATAAAGGATGTTGATATTCCTCTTCTCTTACAACATTCCAGCAAAGAAAAGGTCATTTTTATATTATCATAGAATCATAGAGTTGGAAGGGGCCATGAAGGTCATAGGGTCCAACCCCCTGCTGTTGCAGGACACCATGTTACACCATCCCACTTGGATGCCTGTCCAGTTTCTTTTTGACTGTGAACAGTTATTTGTGAATAACTGTTTAGAGACAAAAGCCAGCTGGTCAGGTGGATTAATTTTGCTATAAAAATATTTATTAAAGAATTAAATATGGCTCTAAAATATTTATAATACTGATTTAATAATGGGTCTATATGATGAAGATTGTATCTTTTACATTTTCATTAATTAATACATTTCTTGCTCTGTTCCATTAATCTGGTATCACAGCTCTTTCTAAACATTAATCGAATAACATTTCCAAATTACTATCCAGTGAATATTTAAATTTTTTATACAGTTCCACTGGTGTGCCATCTACTCTGGGATTTTATTTGTTCTTTCATTCTTTGTTGAATTTTTAATTTCTGTATATTTTATCTTTGCCAATAATATCCCATTATCTGCAGTCACTCCTTTTGGAAGCATAACCTGAAGTTTTTGGTTGTTTTTTTTTTGGTATATATTTTTTCAAAGTATTGATTCTTCTTGGCAATTTGTGCAAAAAAAATTTCTTCAGTAAATATTATAGCTATTTGCTGTCTTTGCTTCTCTCTTCTCAAGTAATTAGCCAATAGCTTATCTGCCATACTTGATTTTTCAAAATATTTTGGTCTAGTAAATTGTAAAGCCCTTTCTGCTTCCCTTTATCTATTATATTTAACCTTCCCTTATATTTTTCGGTTTTTCTAATTACTTCAGCATATTCACATTCAAAGCCTCCATATGGCAATTCTCTACATCTTTTATCATATTGATCAATGAAGCTCTAGATCCATTTCTCTTCTTCTTTATAAAGGCTTCTATACTTGTGATCTCTCCTCTCAAATACACCTTGATGGTGCCCACAGCATTCAGATTTATTTTTACCTCTCCATTCAGGTTTACCTGGGGAAATTCACTTCTGCTGTTTACTCCACCTCATTTGTATCCAAACTGTAGATGATCTGAAATCCCAGTGACACATATTTCACATGCCATAATCTTTAACTGTTAGTCTTTCAGAGCAGTATAAGTGATCCTTGACGCTGAGGTATTGAAACAAAGATAAAACCATCTTCTTTGGGGTAGCTAAATATCTATATATCCTAATAATTTAAACACGTGTATACCTCAGATACAGCTCTTTCCTGGTGGTTTTTAATCATATTTTTTCCTGTCCAGAGGAAAATTTTCCACATAATTAAAATTTTCTTCAAAGCTAATTTTCCCCTCAGCAAACTCAAACTCTGTTAATGTTTGGGGGAAAAAATCATTCTGTTACTTCTTTGGTGTTTACATATTTATAATTGTTATCTTTGTCCCTCTATCATTTTATCATAACAAGCCTTGCTTCTTTATCAGATAATGACTCCTCTATGTCTATTGGTACTATATTTCCAATTAGTACTACTGCTCCCTTTGATTTAGTTAATGCTTATCTCAGACTCTTCCTAGGTTTATAGTACTAAAATAATGAACATGCTCAGTTTTAAGATGTGCTTCCTATAAACATATTCACTTTACATTCCTTTATTTGTTCTCTTATGTTTCTCTTGTTAACTGTATCATTTAATCCTTAACATTCCAACCCAAAATAATAAAGATTATTCACCTTTAATTTAGCATTTACCAACTACAGCCTTGTACTTTGAACGTAATTCATTTCAGGAGGCCGTTTGAACTCTGAATCTTTCAAAGTCCAAATCAATTTTCCCCATTAGAAATAATGGAAAGTGAATTAATCCATTCCCAGATCCTAAACAATACCCATTTTGATAAACAGCAAATACAGCCTCCTGAAATGAATTAAGTTTGAAGTTATATATGCGGTGTGATCAAAAAATACAGAGAATGTTTAAATTAAAAAATGATTGCAGTAAAAGACACATTGCCATTAATCCCCTTCAAAATACTCCCCCTCACTCCAAACACTCTTACCCCATTGTTCTGGCCACTTTCTGAAGCAATTCTGGAAGTCCTCTATCATGGGTGTCTTTAGTTGCGCTGCCATGGCTGCCTCCATGTCCACTAGAGTGGGAAGCAGAGGAGCTGCTCCTCAGTGCACTTTCTCTGTGCGGTGGGTGATTGGAGCAAACAGTGAGCAAGAGTGAAGGAGTAGGTATGCAGGCATGCAGGGGGAGTGCTAAGAGTGCCGCTCCACACTGTTTGTGAAGGCAGTGAGGACTCTAACGTTCGAACATTATCTCGACTCTAATGTTATCTGAACTCCAACATTGTCTCGAGTCTGTTATTCAAACTCTGGATCACTTGAAGTTAGGCACATTCAAACTATGAGACGCCACCACAATACTACTTTATAAATTCATTATACATCACTATCTTACTTAATCATCTATTATCTCTCAGGAAGTCACTTTTCTTCTGGAGGGGCAGGAGGTTTGAATCTATTCTATTTTTAGGGGTATTGAACCCCTTTTATTTTTAGGGGCTGTAAGTGGGTCAATAGAAATCATCTAATCACATGGCCTCTGAGTTTGTCCTCTCAAAATGTGTTCTGTGATCCTCGCATACTAACAAACAATTAAAAATGGGTCTATTCAGTTTCTAGAAATCTGTGATCTAATTCTCTCAATTTACTTTCGAGCTCATTTGTTGACTGTTTTATCTTATTAATTACTCTAGATTCTACAGCATGCAATACAGCAGCTAGGGTTTTTTTTAATCCAGTAAGATCTGCTGATTGTGTCCACCTTTCTTTGAACAACTGAGGACTTAAACAGTGTTTATTTCCATTTGTTTCATTTCAGATGGCTTTGAATTCCTGGAGGTTGTCAAGCAGGTTGCCAAAGACAACACTGACAATCCTGATTTGAGCATTGTATGGATTGACCCAGATGACTTTCCTCTGGTGAGCAGCTAGAAGATTATTGTAATTTCTTACTCCTAATTTCTCTAGTATGTTTCTGTATACAAAATTTCACCACTTGGGTTCCAAAACCTGAGGAAAGTTGGTGTCTCCTTTCCTTTCCTTGGTCCTCCTGAATCTGCTGTTTGTGACAGTGAAGACACTTGGGGGACATGTGAGAAAGAAGACTGGGCACACAATGGAGCAAAGTGAACTCACTCTGGAACCAAGGATCCTCAGCTCCTAATTCCAGGGAGACCGCCTTCTGAGCTCACTGCCAGCACCTCAACATAAATTTCCATTGCCTCTTTCACAAATTATGAAACTTTGGACAGTCTTCCACTAGATATCCTTTTGGTATATCCTTTGGTATAAGCAATTCTGACCTTCCTGTAGTCTAGTGCAGTTATGTCCATGAAACATTTGATAGGTGTAAAAACACTGCAGACCATTTCCTACCACCATGAGGAACAGTTGGATCCAGAACCCCAGGTGCCCCAGCATTTCTTCCTCCTGTTGAAACTAACCAGACTTAAAACCCTAAACATTTTAGCATCCCGTTTCACCCCACTCACTTAGGATGGCTCTGTAAGATACAAAGCAGCATCTGTTAAACAGTAATTCTCTAACACCAGAAAATACAAGCATTCCTGGGGTGTTGTGGTGTTTAGCTGGTAGGAAGGGATAGAGGCATTTCTTACTGATTTCCTGATGGAATTTTCTGGTACCACTTCTTATCTGTTCCAGAAGATCCCCTAACCTCCAGAACAGATTTTCAGAGGCACGGAGGTGGAAATAAGCAAACATTGGAATGGAATTACCAAACATTTCCAATGGAAATGTGGCACACCACTTTTTCAGTCTCCCTAAAAGGAACATTCCTTAAAAATGACCATCCACAAAGTCTTTACGTTTCTTTGCCACTTTGCTGCTAGAGTCCTAACCAACTTCTGCTTCTCTGAGAACAATGCTGGATGCACATTCTGTGATGAGCTTCATGTGCAACAGTGAAGAACCAGCACCTGCTTGCCTTTACCTAAGACCACCCAGACATCTGCCTATCAGCACCAAATCCAGGTGTACTTCCAGATGAAGAGCTCCTAGTACTGCCATTTAGAAGACACTGTGTAGCTATTTCATCCTAATGTATGTTCTCTGGTGCAAAGATGGAAGAAATGGTAGAAAAACACAGTAATGTTACTAACAGACAATGAACCTATAAAATCTTGTGAATAAAGCAGAACACATTACATGATAATGCCTCATCTGAAAGACCCTCTCTGGTCTTTTTCCAGCTCAAATCAGCCCCCCCAAGCTGCTTTTGCACCTAGGAAGAGTGGGTAAAATTCTTCATATCCTTGTGTATATAAATGAAAAAGCAGATTGGAGAGGGTGACCACAAGGTAGAAGAGAATTTCCCACTTCCTGCACTCAGACTCATATACTGTCCAAGCCAACTCAGGTCCAAGAAGGCAGCCTGATCCATGTTCAGTCCTTAAGTGGATTTACATTGCAGAATTTAAAAGGAGCTGACAGAAGGGAGCAGGCAGTCACACTGTCCACTTAGAGATGCTGTTGAATACGAGTTTCTAGCAGACAGCAGACTGTCCACATTGACTAAAGATTTGTTTTTTAGGACACTTCTTTGGGCACCCTGGATAGGTTTATAGACCTCCTACTCCTTTTGTTCCTGAGAATTTACAGTGAAAGAGGTTCTGGACCTGAACTGGCCCCATTTAAAAAGTTTGAGGACCCCTGGGATAGAGACACATGCACACCCCTCTGGACATGTTCATGCCTCATGCCAACCCACCTTGTGAAACAGAATACTACAGGGCTGGTCACTGCTTCATCTTCCAATCAGTGTCTGTTGTACGTCAAATGACCATAGTCCTTTTAATTCTTTTTTTAGTTAGATGTAGAAACATGGAGGTAGGGACAGATTTTATTTTCCTGGGCTCCAAGATCGCTGCAGACAGGGACTGCAGCCAAGAAATTAAAAGACGATTCCTCCTTAGGAGGAAAGCTATGGCAAATCTAGACAGCATACTAACAAGCAGAGACATCACCCTGCCGACAAAAGTTCGTATTGTTAAGGCTATGGTTTTCCCAGTTGTAATGTATGGCTGTGAAAGCTGGACCATAAGGAAGCACCGAAGAATTGAGGCCTTTGAATTGTGGTGCTGGAGAAGACTCCTGCAAGACCCTTGGACTGCAAGGAGATCAAACCTGTCAGTTTTAGAGGAGATCAACCCTGACTGCTCTTTAGAAGGCCAGATACTGAAGATGAAACTCAAATACTTTGTCCACCTAATGAGAAGGAACAACTCACTGGAGAAGAGCCTAATGCTGGGAACAATTGATGGCAGAAGAAGAAGGGGATGGCAGAGGATGAGGTGGCTAGATGGAGTCACTGAAGCAGTCGGCGTGAGCTTACGTGGACTCCGGGGGATGGTGGAGGACAGAAAAGCCTGGAGGAATGTTGTGCATGGGGTCGCGATGGGTCGGATGCGAATTCGCAACTAACAACAGCAAGAAACATAGAAATAGAGTGAATCAGGAGGAGGCTCCTGGTCCATCTTTTCCGACCCCCAGCTCCAGCCTCATCCGCTCATGACACGCCTACCATGTACATTTCCAGCCTATCCTTGAACACCCTCACTGATGGGGCTTCAACCACTCCCCATGGAAATCCATTCTATACCCTAGGGGTCCTAACTCTCAGGAAGTAGTTCCTGGCATCCAAATTGAACCTTGATTCCCTGAGCTTTGCTCCAGTGGAACATGTCCTGCCCTCCTCCACAGGGGAAATCAAATCTCTACCCACCTCTGCATGACACCCCCTCACGTACCTATATGTTGCCAACAGATCAGCTCAGAGCCTCTTTTCCCTGCTGAAAAGACTCAGCTCCTTCAGTCTCACCTCATAAAGCTTCCCCCCGAATCTGACCACAATCCCTGTGGCCCTACACTGCACCAATTCCAACCTGGCTATCTCCTTCCTGTAATGCGGAACCCAGAACTGAACACAATACTCCAGTTGTGGGCACACCAGTGTAGTATACAGTGGCAGCAATACATCTATCTAGAAGCCACACTTTTGGCTATGCAACCAAGGGTGGCATTTGCCCTCTTGACTGCCACGTCACACTGCTGACTCATGTTTAGCCTGCAGTCAACCAATACCCTGAGATCCCTTTCACACATGCTGCTCTCCAGACACTTGTCCCCTAACCTGTACTTATGACACCCATTCCTATGCCCCAAGTGCAAGACCTTGCACTTATCCACATTGAACGCCATCCTGTTGATCCCAGCCACTTCCACTTAGCGGGGAGTCATTGACAACAATCACCCATCACTGTCTCTTCCCAATTGCAATAGATACCCGTAGCTTAGCCCTCACCCCCCTGCAACAGCCCCATGGCTGCATCTGGTCCCAGGCTGGAGTTCTTGAACAGGTCGGTCCCCCAGACCATCATCAGCCCCAGCCTTCCCAAGCAGAGAAAACCTATTTCCAAGTTCCAGGTTGGCATCAGGAGACAAAGAAGACCATGCTGGCCTCCTCCTCCTGTGGGTGACATGCTTCCATGTCTCCCCAGCTGTTTTCTGCTTTACCCCTCCCTCATCCTTCTGCCTTAAGGGGGCTGCTCCCTCTTGGCCTGGAGAGCGCTCTCAGCCTCCAGGCTCCTCACTTTCTCCTCTAGGAAAGAGACCAGCTTGCACCTAGGAGAAGTGTAACCTGCTATTCTTGTGGGAGAAAGATAAACATGGCACAGGTGTCACAGTGGAGAGCAACACCTGCAGTTCCTGCCATGGCTGTCTCCTGGAGTGACACAGATCACCCCTCACAGGCCTTACCTTCTTCCCCTACCTTGTCTGTGCTTCACTAAGCTTACCTTACTTTCCTCACCTAGTTCCCCCAGACAGAATAGTACAGGAAAAACAGAACAAACAAATTAAAAAAACAACCACCATGACCTAAGAGAAGAGAGTCCCCTGGCAGCCCAGGCTGCACCTAAGGGACGACACCCTTGCTGCATCACCCGTTCACACCATGTCTGTTGGCACTGCCATTGGCTGCAGCCTAATAAGCCTCAGAAATAGCTGGTCCCGCCCCCTCTGCTTCCTCTTGGGCCTTGCTGGCCTCTCTAGCCCCACTTTCTTTTGTCTCCACTGCTTCTACCCCCCCCCCCATCCTCTGCTCAAGCGCCTATTTTGCTTTTTCCAGTTCCGTGGCCACTCTCTCCACACCCTCCTGGCCTCTGCTGCTCTGCCAAGATTTATATACATCTATATTTTTGTGCACAATATTCAGCATATAAACATACTTCCATTTTCTTTTGCTCCTACAGCTCATCACATACTGGGAAAAGACTTTCAAAATTGACCTGTTCAAGCCACAGATTGGTGTGGTCAATGTCACAGATGTGAGTATTACTCACCCAGTAGCCCTCGAATGTGAATGGCAGATTGACTTGTGGCTCACTCAGGGTCCAGAAACTGGCTTTGTTGTCACATCTTTGTAGCACCCACTGCATGATAAAGTGCTTCTTTCAGGCTCACTTGTGCTGTGTACAAAGGATGATAATTATCATTTCTGTAATGGGGCCATCAACTTCAATAGACAGTGTGATAATCACTTCAGGAACAAATCAGGGTGTGGGGGTGGGGAGCCTGTTATTCCTTAATTACAGATTCCTTTGGCTCATCAATGAAATGTTCTACAATTCAGATACAACAATCACAAAATATTAGATTAGATATTTGACTTGCATTATTGAGTCTAATGACTATATTTCATCTTCATTATAGCAAAATATAGATAAACCTGTCTTCAGTTTGAATAAACAAAGGGATATTTGATATATATGCAGTTCAACGTGGAGAACATTAGGATATAGTATTGGGCCACTGAATAAACAATCCTCACTTGTGAATTTCTCTGTAAAGTATTTTTGAAATTACCTAGAGTTTTGAACTCCCCTCTCCCTCACAAAAGCATGAGTACAGAACCTTCAATGCAGTGGCTGCTGTCAAGAGACAGTGAATGCAGGTGTGCTTGGGGCCCTGGGACTACAGTCAAAATAGAGTTACAGTTTACTCAGACGTACAGGAAGTACATGCAGCATATAGGCAGCCCCAGGAAGGCCTGCCCTGAAGAATTCTGCAGAAGATACTTTTATGACCAATTAGTCAGGTGGAAGAGTACAGGCGGGTGGGATCAGTTTGCAAGAGGCACGTGACATTGGAAACAAAGGGTTGAATGGAATAAGACAACGGAGAAAAGAGGAAGAGCTTGCAAGGCAGGCAGAGATTAGCATATATGTACAAAGTATACCTCGGGATCAGGACTGACACTTATTTGCACAGACAATTTGGAAGACAACAACAACACCAAGTCAGACCTGGCTCTATGACCCCTATGAACCCTAGCTACTTGATCTACCTTGCTTTTAGTAGCCTCCCCAAATGCCTAGACTAGCAGGTGGATGTTTTGGTGCAGGAAATTCTTTATGGGTCCAGTCTGAACTTCTCAGGTGTTTAGAATGATAGGGAATTCTCCTTATGCACATAGTCATTGGTCTTGCTCTGGCCCTGACTTGCACATTACAGAAACATAACCAGCTAATGCAGGGTTAAAAGAAACAACAAACTCATGGCCATGCACGTGAACCAAGCTGATAGAAACAGCCAATTTTGGTTCAGGCCAATTCTCGGGCTTTACCCAATGGGTTAACTATTCCACTTCTGCCCTGCGCCTTTTCTTTTCACTGCTGCCCTGCGCCTTTTTTAACCTGTGTGATATGGTTATTAGAATGTTGGACTGAGGACCTGGAAGATCATGAAGCTCACTAGGTGACTTTCAACCAACCCTGCCTCACAGGGCTGGTTTTCTTCATAAAAAAGTAAAATCCAGAAAAAGAATAGGGATAAGGGATCTTACATAAATATTACATATGATATCAAGATGACAACATTTCACAAAAAGTCAGAAACTGTTTTCTCTTCTGTACTCAGTTAAATGAATTAGTACTTAATTAAAACCTAAAGAGCAATTATTCTAATTTATCATTCCTAATGCTGACTTATTTTCCATTTCTTTACATTGCTTTTAAATAACAACAAAGGATTTGTATTAAAATTATAACTCACTGATATTTTTACAAACTATTAAATTATATATAATAAGCTTTCTATTTATCATTAAATTTGTCAGCTGGTCTTCTTTTTAAGTAACTGGTTAGGTTGGGCATTACTTCAT